ATTTAGTCTTACGTTGGTTTTCACAGCAATATGTTGCACAGGCTTGTAGCCTAGGAGCAATAGACCATATAGCATGGGTGTGTAGCAGGCTATGCTATCTAAGTTTGTGTAAGTGCATGCTACAATGTTCACACAATAAAATCACCTAATGACACAGTTCTCAGAACATACCACCATTGTAAAGTGGCGCATGATTGTACTAGTATTTTTTAAGTTTAGAATGAAAGGACCTAATATATTGTTATGGTTAAAGTGTAAGGAAACTTTAAACCATTATTACATTTACAGCTTCGGTTCTAAAGCCGTTACAATAAAGCTGTCTTACTTGAATATTAATGTCTTTGATAAATTAATAAACCGCTTTGTATCACAAGATAAATACGGTTTCATTTCAAGAATGAATTCAGGAGGAGATAATTCATCAGTATTCCATTAATGATTACTTAAATTTTGCTTTGTAAGAAGTCTTTATATTATATTTCCTTCCAGAGCTATAAAATCCATTTGTTTGGCAAAGTATAAATACACATCAGCTAGAGAGAACCTTCAAAAGGTTTTTGTTTTTTTTCTAACTACCATGTCCTTTCTTTAAAAAATTAAACCAAAAACATTATCTTTTTTACCTTGTCCCATACAAATATTCTCTAAGTTATAGTCCTTTTTATAGCAATGTAAGGACTCTAAATAACTAAACGGCAATATAATTATTGTAGCTAATAACTTTTAAAACATTAATTAAATAACATAGAAAGAGTGATATTTAAGATATACATTTTGAAATTTTTTTCAAGCCCTAATCATGTTTTATGAAAGTATATGTAGATATACACATACACAAATATAGTGTTTCGAACTACAAAATAAGAATTTCATAATAAAAGACTGGGCTATACATAAGGATCAATAGTGGATTTTGCTTAAATTAACATTCAAAGAATGCTTCAGATCATTTATTATTGAATTCTCTGAACCCACATTACAAAAAGACATTTTAATTCATTAATATACAAAAGGAGATGTCTTACCAATTCTAGCAGCAATGACGCCTGCAAACAGCAGACTGACAGAGATTATGGACTCAGATTTAAGACTCATGTCCAGGTCAACATTAGTAGAATCAGACCCATTAGACATGTGAAATTCAGTTGTAAAGATGATTTCAGGTATTTCTGTAGGTATGTTTGTAGACAGTGGCTCTGCTTGAATGAACCTAGAACGGATATCTTTAAAAGGAGAAACAGACAAGTCCAAAGGGCTTCCAGGCATGAACACGGAGATCACACACAAGATCAGACAAGAAACCTGCGCGAATCCTGAGATCAAACCAGTCCGAACCAGGCCACATTTTCGACGTAGCCAAGTAAAAGCCACAGTTCCCATTATTCCAGTTATGGCTGACGCTCCCATCAAAATACTGAGGATGGACCCACTCAGCCCCTGAGTGTAGGCGTACCCTGTGGTGATGCAATCAAAGCCCAGGACAGTCATATAGAGGAAAGCAAGACCCATGCCTGCCAGAAACACCGGCTGGTTATAATAGGAGACCCATCCATCTCGGAAGGTGCGGAAGGGCTCAGCCATCTGGGAGGCACAGCTTGGCTCTTGCTCATGTTCAAGCTCATGGATGTGAGGGTCTTTCTCACCCATTAGATGAGTTCCCTCCAGGAATTTTGGCTCAGTTTCTGTTAATAAAAGACATCATTATTTGGGGTAGAGGGCATAGGAGGAAAAAGCCAATTATTTTACTTCTCTTCTTTGCCTCCCCCAGGGGTACCCTTGGCTACTAGAATGATATATGTATTTTCTTTTTACTGATCTATATGATGATGGGAAGAGAACTGACTGGGTGGTGAACACACAATGTGATATATAGATGATGTGTTATGTTACAGAATCATATACCTGAAACCTATGTAACTTTAGTATTAATTGTCACCCCAATAAACCTTAATTAAAAGAAAACATTCCAGCCAAGGGACAATTTCCAAGTAGCAATAATGTTAAATAAAATACTACTGATTTCAACTGTTAATGCTCTCTCTCTCAGAAATTATACTCCCACTAAAGTAACACTCATCAGATAAAAATACAATAACCATCTGGAAAAACAAAGCATCTTATTTTCTGGGGCCCTGTTAAGATTCCACTTGCCCAGAAGTCCATCTTCCTCTTCCTGGGAAACGCCCACCTTCATGTCCTCACTCCCTTCCACTGTCCTCCAAATCACCTACAAATGGCATGTAACTCTCCTCTTCATCGTCTCCTAGGAATTCTCTTGTTCTCATTTTTATTTCCATTCCTACAGCTTAACTTTTCCCAGCCATCCCTCAAGTACTTGCCCCTCTGTGTCTACTGCTCACATTATGGAAAGGGACATGGGTTCCACCCCAACCCCTTGAGGTTTAACCTAGCGTCCTTCCTCAGACCCTCAAAAGCCTGGGTTTTGACTCATCTACCAAAGTGATGTATTTGACCTCATGCAGGCCTTCAGTGGTAATAAAATCTGATATAAATTCAAAATAGTTTTCGTTTTCACCCACATTTAAGGTCTGAATATCAGAATAAAAGGATTGATCACTGTGTTGAGTTTACCTTTGTGTAAATTCAGCTGTTTCAACTCAGCTTCCTCTACTTTAAGAGCAGCTTTCACAGCTAGAGCAGGGGTTTTCTGATACACCTTCCAGAGCAGCAAGTACTCCACACACATAGACACCAAATTCCATCCCGAAATGAAACCACAGCCAATGACTGCAGAGCCAAATGTCATAATCTGGCCGACAGCCATGGGGGCCAAGATATTGGTCAACTGGTCAATCCTTCGTATTGTAGCATTCATATCTACAGAGGTGGGTGAAAGATGCAGATAAGTGTGCAAACCTGTCAAAGAAGGACTGCCCGCCTATATAACACAAACTCAGAGACCAAGTACATAGATTCCTAAAATGTAAATTTCTAAAAGCACTCTATGAGCAAACCATAACCGTTTTCTTAGAAAATGATTTCTTGTTTGGATCAAGTCATAGTAAATGGCCTCAAAAATTTGATTCCCTTGGGATTTTATAAATTAGTCTAACATTGGCTTTTAAAATGAATACAATTGTGAAAAGACATTCATTTTTTTTCCAAGAAAAATTTATTAAATGCCTTTTATGAGCTGGGCACCATTCTGGCACTATAAGGAAAATAAAGAATATCTTTTCCTGTCTTCATGGAGTTTACATTGCCATGGGAAAATAAAGACAATAAATCGACAAGCACAGAAATATGTTCATTAAATATTATGGTGAAAAATAAAGCAGCCAAAGGGCATAGAGAGTGCTCAGAGGAAAAGGGAAATTTCAGTTTTAAGTATAGGAAGGTCAGGGAAGGACACACTGGAAAAAAGATAGCATCACAGCAAAGACATGAAGTGGTGGAAGGCAAAAGAGTGAGTCATGTGGATATCAGTGAAAAGAGAATTCCCAATCGAGGGACGTGCCAAAGTCCTGGGGCAGGAGGAGCATGCCCAGAGTGTTGGAGGAGCAGCAAGAAGGCCAGGAGGACTGGAGCAGAGCGAGGAAGGAAAGAGATAGGAAGAGATGAGGTCAGAGAGGAGCGTAGACTGGTCCAGTCATTTAAGGCCTTGTGAACATTATATGGACTTAACTTTTACACTGAATGAGTCAGGAAACCTTTGGGAGCTTATGAACTGAGAAATGGCACAATCTGACATATTTTTAAAGGTTCATTTTGGCTCCTGTGTTGAGAAAAGTCTGTAGAGTGTGTGTGCGGAGGGGTGATAGTCAAAAGGAAAGACTAAGAGATAAATGGGAGATGATAGTAGCATGGACCAGGATGCAACAATGGACATGGAGAAATATATACTGGATATAGTTTAAAAAGAAAATCTGGAATACTTGCAAACTGATTAGATATGGTATCTGAGTGAAAGATAGGCATTAGGGGAGACACTGAAAAAGAGACGGTTTCAGAAGACACAGGTTTGGGGCAAAAGAACAAGCGTTTTGTTCTAGGGATTTTGAGTTTGATAGGCCTATCAACATGCAAGAGGCCACATCAAGCAGGCAGTCAAATAAACAGGTCCGGAGTTTAGGGAAGAAGTATGCACCAGATTTGGGAGTTATCAGCTGGTTGATTTTTAAAGCAATGAGACTGGACAAGATCACCAGGGGAGTGAGTGCAGACTGAGAGGAGACGAGGGCTGAGACCTGAGACTTGGGCATGCCAGTGTTTGTAAACGCTGGTCAGGAAGATGGGAAGAAAATAACCAAAGAGGAGAAAAACCAGGAGAGTGTGATATCCTAGAAGCTAAAAGGTGACAGTGTTTCAAAGAAGGGGGAGTAATCAACTGGCAAGTGCTGCTAATAAGTCAAGAAAGGCGAACACTGAGAAGAAGCTCTAGATGGTCACGCGCGCGGAAGGTATTGAGAGGCTCATAAAGCATAGTTTGGGGGAGCAACAGGGCNTAACAAATGCAATTTTAAATAACTGGAGAATGCAATTCAGGAAGATTTTAAAAATATTTTTATATAGAAATATTTTACAAAGATTTTACAATGTAGCAAATCATTATGTCATACCATAGAAAGAAGAAGAAAACGATTAAACCTCCAGGATAAAGAAAGTGCTCATAGCAATGTATTGCAGTCTCCATGAAAGTGCATAAACAAACGGTTAAGGCAAAGTACCATGTTGGTACTGGTGTGTTACAAAATGACAGTGTAAAACAGTTTTTAAAAATATATACAAAAAGTTTTCCCTTTCCTCCCTTCTTCTCAAATACATTTAAAAGGGATACATTTAAAAATAACTCCTGGATACAAAACAGTAAAAGTAAAAATGCTCTACCCCAGCGTGTTCAAAGTAGATCAAATGATTGACAAAACAAAACCTTTCCAAGTGTGGGCTTGCTTTCTACATTTAACCTGCCAGGCAGAAAGCTGGCTCTCTCATGTTCCAAGATGGAGATCATTAATGAGAGTGGCGCGAGTTCAATTCAAATCTTGCTTTTCTGTGTGACTTTTATAATAGCTTCTAGTTTCTATGACCAAACTACTTGCGTATTTGAAGTCATTGTGCATTCACTGTGTTATAAACATACTTTATAGCTTTATAGCTTTGCTTCTACCTGCAGCTTACATGATAGCCATTTTACAAAGTGCTACATATGCTTAACATGATATTTTGCCCTATCTGATTTTGCCCTATCTGATAGAGAGCATGAAGGTGCTCTCTAGAGTTAAACTATAGATCCAATTAGAGAATTCTAGTGAAATATTTTGTTTTCCCACATATATGTAAATCCCTTAAGGATATAAGGATAATACTGGTTATCAAACTTTAATCTTCATATGTGGACCAGAATTTATTTGTTTTTATAATAAAACAGAATAAAATACCAAAGAAGTAAATGAGCTATACTTGAATAACAGTGAGTTTTAGGGAAAATTGACATATCTGAATTCTAGTACAGATAATAAATATCTGCCAAAGAATAACTCAATTCACATGGCTAACCTCTCTTTTATGTAAAAGTTTATCTACTCATGAGAACTAGGGAAAATCTGTGTTGCCATTTTAGTCTCCATATTTAAACTGAGTTCTCATTTTCCTATTTTTTTTCCTTCTTTAAATGGAAAGAAACTCATTTCTGCTGACAGGTTTCCTAAATAGCTTTTAGCCTTCAAGGTATTGGTGAGGTAAAACAAGAGAGACACACCCAGCCATTTATTGGAATTCTGAAGTAAAAAATAAGTACACGTGCTCTGTATAATCTAGTAACAGGGATAGCAACAGTTAAACTGTGTTACACAACAGATGTATTGGTTTGGTTGTCATTTGTAACCTCTCTTTCATCAGGACCACAAACAAAAAGCTTGCTGCCCAGAGTTTTCTGGGCAAATCGGAAATACATGATGTGGCCCATTGCCACAAAGGAGACTGAAATCAATACGAGCAAGCCAAAAGCTTCAGGATTTGGAGCCAGGATGACCATGATGAAATGCAGAAGATCAAGGAGATAGTTCATGGAGTTCTGTACGCCATTTATAATGCCTCTTTCAGATTCAATTACATTTTCTTGCAGCAACTGTGTCACAGTTAAATCAAAGGACCAAAGACCTATAATAAAAGATATGTTTTTAGAGATATTCAATCTCTAAAATTTATAGTCATATATTTCAGGTTATATTTACAGATTAAAAATCTGTTGACATATGCAAAATACACATTTTAGCACTATTACTTTAAAGTCACCATATATGTATTTAACAAAGACTTGCCTTAGGGAATTATTTTTCATTAATAAATACTGAGTTATTAGTGGCTCTAAGAAATGATTTTTAAAGCCACCAGACAAAAATCAGTCTAATCTACAAACTTCTTAATTCTGTTTTNCCTCTTCCTGCTCTGAACAGTACTCTGCAAAGATAAGGGAGGCAGCTGTAAAAATTCCTATTAAGTCTCCAACTTCATGCTCCTTCCTCCTCCACAGGGCCTCTCTCTCTAAGTTCACAGTCTGGCAAAATGTCCATATTAAGAGCTGAGACCTTCCTTTGCTAACATGGTTCTATTCATTTTACAAGGTCATAGGCCCTCAGTTACAGCTGCAAACAGTCAGGGCAGATCTCCAACCCCAGCTCAACCCCTGTGGGAGAGAGTGAATGACCTGTTCAAGACAGCAGCCAAACCTAACACAGGCATCCACTGTCTGTTCAAAAATCATGAGCAGATCAGTAGCTACAGGGTGATGTCAAAAGTTCTCAAGCTCCCAATTTTAGGGGAAAGAAAAGGAGTCTCTGATCAACTATGTCTGAGTCATATCTGAGTCCCACGACCCATCAATTTGGTACACAGATCAGCAAATATTTACTCAATACAGAATGTGGCTCTACTCTCTCTGGACCAACAGCAGGAATCTATCTTTAACCGTCATTAGGTAGGTCCAACTTCTAGTAATATAATAATAGTACCTCATCCTCCAGTCCAGGAAGTGCTTCCACATGATTTATTTGACTCAATAGGTAAAAATATTAAGTAGGTAGGGTTGGTTTTATACTATCAATATAATTTCCAATTTATAGAAAATAGAACTGGGGGAGTTTAATGTGACTTCTTCAAGGTCAAAGAAAGAGTACTGGGCCTCATGTTTACTACAGTTTTACCCAAGCCACCATAAACTAGATCTATGAACAGAGAGGTAACA